TACATGGTTATATATCTCATTCTTTTTTTTTAATTCTGTAAGTGCCTTTGTTTCAGAAATGTTTTGTGAAATTAAAGACAGTAGAATATTGAATTTACTAGATAACCATTGTTGCTTTTGTTACACTGTAACCTCGCTTTTTATGTTGTTTGTAGGTTAAACATAAGTATTCAAACCAAATGGCATAAACTCTATGCACCTTTGTAATAAATTCAGTGTTTGAAGTAATTCTGTCCACTTGGTTTTCTTAGCCTCATTTTGAGTATTATTTAGAGGTGTATCTGCAAAGGTACACATTCCTTCATGTGTTTGGCAGCTCGTGTTACTGAGTGTCCTTCAGGTCACCTTGTATCATGAATATCACTTTTGGTGGTGGAGACTGAAGCCTAACCAAAATCACAGGTCACAACATAAAGCAAGGACAGTGTAAGCTGCTGAATGATCCTCTGCCAGGCTGCTGCCAAGCAAGTCCAAAAGGATTGATTCTAAGGAAGTCTGTAATTTCATTAAAAATATCTTCTCAACCTCTTTAGACTTGTGTGTTAAGTATTGTGCCTCATTCTTCAACTTGACCAATTCAACATGAGGTAAGTGATGCTTTCTACTCTGTCTGAATATGTTTTTGCTAAACTGTTTGTGTAATTTACAGTTTTGATAAAAATGGTTTAGAAAGGTTGTATTCACACCCCTGACTCATTAATCTTTCACTTGAAAATATTTTATTTGGGCAGAGCAAGAGTTCTTTATATGACACCATGCCAGCAGTGAGTTGTTTTGTGTATCAGCATTATTACCTTGAATTGCCAGCTACGTTCTAATGTAGCATTTAAAGGAAAACAAAGGGAGAAACACAGAAATTTTTAAAAACCCACTAACACCCAATCAAAACCTCATAATAATTGGGTAGTTTTGTAGTGTTACTCCTTGATTTTATTGGAGTCTCAGCTGCAGTCTGATAATGTGTTGGAGGTGCAATATAAATAATTTCACTTCCAGTTTTATTTCACATTTTCTCTTAGTTGACTGGGGGCAGCAGACAAAATGCATGCTACTAAAAACCTTAATCTAGAAAACATATAATTAACATTTGGGCTAGAAATGACACCAGGAAATTGCAGTTATTTGTGATGATTTTGTTGGCACTGCTTTCTAGTTCATCTGTTCCTCTTTTCCCATGACTTTCAGCAGGTGCACTTGTCCAGTATGGTTGAGTTTGAAAAGTGAAAGGCAGAGAAATGCTCAGACAAAAGCTGTGTGCCTTCCCCTCTCTCTGCACACAGGGCTGAGGAGCAGAACCTGGGTTTTGATTAAAACCTGCAGATTCCCTTAAGGACCACGTAGGGTTTCAAAGGTACCTTGACCCTTTATTACAGCAAATGATCATATAGGAGAGTTAACTGCTTGTCCTAGGGTGACGTTATGGTGTTTGTATCTCCAGTCGTGTGTTCTGTTTACGTTTAATATTATGTTCTGTGCTTTCAGAACTGACTCTGAAAGTGAAGGTTTGTTTTGCCTTGTTATCAGCTGGTTCACCTCCCCCCATGGTCTGCTGTCTAGAAAAGGCTGGTGCTGGCTGGCTTTGCTTGCTTGGCTTGCTTTGCCTGCTTGCTTGCTTGGCTTGCTTCTGCTTTTGCCTTTGCTTCCTAGTTAGGTTAGCTAAGCAGTCCAATTCTTTCCCTGGACTGTTGCTTTTCCTTTCCTCTTCCTGAATACCATCCAACCTGTTCCAGACTGGGATCTGGGAAACACCAAGGAACACCAGGAGCCTGCATTTGGTGATCTGCAGCAGCCATCCCCAGCGTCCAGACCCGGGCGACCACTCCCAGGAAAGACTTTCTGGATTTGTTCATCTCTTCAGAGTGGTGAAAGAGTTTTGTTGTCATCTGGTGTTGTTAATTGTTTTGGTGCTGGGGAGTGCTTTGTTCGTTGAATAAACAGGTTCTTTTCCACTTCTCTCAGAGGAAATTTTTCCCTGAACCAGGTGGGTGGGGAGGGGCCGTGGGGGTTTGTTTCCTGGGGGGCTCCTTTCAGAGGGTTTTCCCCAAATTTGCCCTAAGCTAGGACACTGCTGAACTGAAAAGTTGGGAGCCCAGGGTTAGGTGAGGAATATTACTCGTTATGTTTTCATAGTGTTTAATCAGCAGATATCTATGGTGGTGTGAATTTTTCCAGAACTAAATTTGGCATGCATTTAAAATCATGGCAGGGTTGTGTGGGAATTGCTGGACACACAGGAGGGAAAAACTTCACTTATTGCCAAACAAGCAATTCTTGCCTGTTTTTTTTTTTTTTTCCCAAGTATGGAAACTCAGTATTGTATCTCGGCACTTGTAATAACTCACATATTTGCTTTAGCCAGTGTTTTGGGGTCTGTTTTTATCTCTGGTTATTATTTGACCATATCTAGTTGTTTTGCAGCCTGTATCACAGGAACCTGGTCAGATTTACAGTTTTCAGTGAGTGATATAGGAGGGGAAAAACATGCACAAGTTAAACTTGTGAGAGGTGAGAGAAAGCTGAAGAAAATCTTACTTTATCCTTTCAAGAGCTCAGGCTTCAGCACTGATGGAACTGTGTCCTCTGCAAAGGCAGCCCCCACTCAGAGCTAGTTAGCCATTATAAAAATAACCTCTGATACCCCATTTCTCTTACTGCTCTCAAAATAACTTTTAAACCAGCTACTGCAGCCTTTTCATTCTAACACTTCTTGTTCCTGCAATGGGATTTGTGGTTCACTCTCTGATGGTACCTTGCCCCTGGAATCAGGTAGGATGTCATTCTCAGACTGTTGGACAGGGGTTGCAGCTCAGCTGTGTGGTAAAGAAGGTTCTTTAGCAAAACAAATTGTTCATTCTCAGAACACCAACCTACATCATGATTAATGCATAGATTAAAACATTACTGTTTGTGTTACCTCTGTTAGGACACTCTACCGCCACTCTACTAATTACATTCTGGCCATATATGAAAATAAAATGGCAGTTTCCTCTGGATATTTTCAAAAGCAGGTTAGCCTTTGAGCAACTATTGAACTGTCAAGCTTTAGGACTAAGTTTTCAAATTAGTCCAGGCTCAGCAGTGCTGGCAGTCACACTTCAGGTGTGAAGGTGTTTGCCCTTGCTCTTGGAAGCACTTTGATAAACTTCAGCCACAATGGGTTTGTAGAGATCACAGATGACCTTTTCTTATCAGCCTAAATTACAATCAACACTGTACATTTTTTTAACAATTTACACTGTAAGTTTGCATTTGCTGCTACATTCACAGCAGATAACACAGTCTGTGCAGGTAGAACTGCTGGAATTTGACCCTAATTGTAACCATTTGGCTATTATAGCCATAAATAATATTGCAGACTGTAACATAAACATGCAGTGGTGAGGATGACTTTGTTTTAATTGTTTAGCACAGGCTTTTAAGCAGTAGCTCACTCGTGGGATTAATATGAATAAACCCAACTGATGTCAGGGATGTGTGCTACAGGATGAGGTATTTTGTATTTACCATCTTCACCTATGTCAGCTTAGTTAAAAAAGATGGGCTTTTGAGGCCTGACATGACACAAAGCAGTTGTTTGGCTTCTCTGTGGAGTTTGTTTCAGTTAGGAGATGGATGAGCTGCAGGGGCCCCTTCCAATCTCTCCAAGTTAATGATAATGCAAGGTGTAGAATTGAGCAAGGTTTTATTGAGCGGGAAAAAGCAGCTCTGGTGAGCTCAGCTTTCAGCCAAGGGGAAACCCTGGTTGCCATCCCCACGGGCAAGGAAGCAGATGGGTGGTGCTGCTGAGGAATGTGAGAATTGTGTGTAGAACATGCCTAGTGGCTTTCTTTTGCTCAGTACTTAATTGTTCAGGCTTGTGCCTGTGCTTGATGCCAGAGTAAATTGCTTTTCTCAGTTAATACAGAGGCACAGCTTATCTGTAACATGGTGGGGAAATGCAAACTGGCATGGAAAAGTTGCTGTGGTGGGAGTTCTCCAGAGAGTGAAGAACTGATGATCTGGGATGATGAGCTGTTGCATACATGATTGGATCTTTTTAATCCTGAGAAAAATTTCAGGAGGAAATAAAAAGGGAAAATTGTTGAAGGTCAGCACAATCTTAAAATAATTCTGACAAGGCTGATCACTCTAAATGTCTTAAATAATTATGGTGGTTCTGTAAATATGTTTCTTTTCTGCCTTTTTTCTTTTAGGCGTACAGCCTCATTTTTCCTTAGGAATCTGAACAGACAATGCCTTCAATTTTAAAAGCTGTGGTTTAATTTCACAATAACACAATGTTAGTGTGATCCCTGCAAGGGAAAAGTTTGGATCTGTTTGGTGTATGGAGCCTGGGTTGTACTGCTTTAAAGTCTGGAGTTGGGAGAAAATGAGAATGTAAATGTACATGTTTGGGTGTTGTCTGTTAGAGGGGGTGGATGGGAAGGGATGCAAAGCCAGGAGGGAACAGTTAGGAGCTTTCCTACCAGTTTTTTCCACAGATAACTCCTCTGTTTATATAAAGTTTAGCAATAATCCACTTCTCCCTTCTTCCAAGTTGCCATACACACACCCTCTAGATGAAGCCAGGAATTTTTTTTAAGAACTTTTTGTAACTGGACTGCTCCAGCAGTTTGGGATTCTTTAGGGAACTGGTTTTTGTCCAAGTTCTTAACAGTTCATTTGGTCTGTTCACCCAGATGGGTTAAATGTCTCTTACTTCTATAAACTCAAATTGTTTAGAGAAATTAAGTGGTGAGTACGGTTGAAAACTGATGATCACTGCATTTTGGAATATCTGAGGTATTGTGACTGTCATATCTTTGTTAGGACAATTCTAAGGTTGCCCCTCACAGCAGGCTCATGGCCAGATACTGCTTTACCACAGCTTCTGCTCATTGCGCTGTTCTTAAGGAATTATCTTAATGTTTATTTTGGTTTTGAGGAAGGGCTTTTACATGCACTTTCCAGGTCTTCTCCCTAATCCTGAAGACCAGGAAATGTTTGGTGTTTGTTTTACCTTTTTTTTGTTTTGGGTTGCTTTGTTTATTTGCTTATTTACTTATTTTACATGGACAAATGAAATGTTTTTTGTCACACCAATATCTGCAGCTTGTCTTGTCCAGGGCCTGGTGACAGTTCCAGGGTTCTGACCATGCAAGCACACACAGGCTTGGAAGGCTTTGCTGCTCTGTGGCTCTGCATTATTCCTTGGTGCATTTCAGCAGGCACATGGCAGTTTTCCAGGTGCTACCAGGGACTTCAAACCAGTTACTGAGAGGAGCAGTTGGCAGCTTGTGTTTCACAGAAACAACCTGGCCCTGCCTGGTGCAGTTGCTGCTCAGAGAGGAGGAGGCTAAGCCCAGGCTGGGGGGAAGAAGGAGCTTTGGCCTTCTGGAGGTGCTGGGTTATTATCCCAGTTCTTCCTGCATAGGCATTTCTAGGAAAGTTCTCTTCTAAAGCAAGAGCCAAGCCAGGAGCTTGCTGAGCACACTGGAGTGGGCTCTCTTTGCTGTGCAGGTCACAGCCGCTTTGGGCATGACCAGAGAACAGAATGTCTCCCAATTTTCCAGAGTCTTCCTTCCCACTCTTGTACAGTCTCTTGTCCTCCTGGTTCCTGGATCCAGGCTTGTTCTTAACCATGTCCCTGTTGAAAATGGAAAAGAGCTCTCCCATCTAAACACACACACCCACACCTGTGGGCTCATTTTAATAACACACTTTCCTTTTTAGGGTCTAAGGCTCAGCTGGTGACTTGCAGCCCAGTGTGACAGTAAGTGAAAGTCACGTACACTTCAAAGGGTGGGGCAGCAGCTCTTCCTCCAACCTTTGGTGCTGAATCCTAGGAATGAGAGGCTCCTTCGTCTTCATCATGACCAAAAATTCCAGTCATTCTGCACACATTTAAATATCCTTCTATTGCCTAGGATGCAACTCTCAACAGTACCGTCTTACTCTTTTAAGGGGAACTGTAAAATATAAATTCTAGTATTGTTTGTTTTGGCATCTTAGTAATTACACCTTCAGCAGATTGATGTAATTGAGTGAGCTCAGGTGACCAGTCCTCAGCAAGAAATTCAAAGCCCTGTAGTGAACTGCCAATTCTTAAGTTATTTCTAGAAAGGTTTTTAAAATCACCATAAACTGTTTACTAATATCAACAATATGAAAATTCTGGAAGTCACACAAGGAAGTGGTACATCTACAAAAGACACAAGTGTGTTCAAAAGGCTTTCATATGAATGCAGTGATGACAAACACCTTGGCACATTCAGCACCATAAATTCAGCTGTAGTCACAGTAACATGGAGAATAGAGAGAAATTTCCATTCCATTCACAGCGGTTTCATACAGGATGGAATTCATAACCAGAACCAGTCATAAGCCATTGAGTGGTTTGCACAGCAGTATCACTCTCATCAAAATTCCTTTGCTTTCAGCTACATTTAGATAGCACAGAAATAATTATAACAAAGAAATGTGTCTAGTTGTGCTGTGTTTGAGTGCAACCCAAGATCATCACTTAAAAGGATGATTCAAAGTTCACATTTACATTGGCAATGATGATTCAGATGAGGAAGGACACAGATCTTTGCTGTTGGCTAGCTGGAGTCTGTTCCTTGGTCTTCTGGCTCAGGAGGATACAATTCATCCAAAATCAGCTCTGCAACAAAAAATAATGTTTCAGAGAATTATTTTTTTCCTGCTTCATACAGTATAATTGTAGCTGGTATCTGCATTTTAGAACATACTGATGGTAGAAGACTACAGCAAATAAAATTTTTGAAGGGTCCCTGCAAACTAGTCTTTAGATTTGTGTTTTGTCATACAAACTTCTCCCCTTCTTTAATACCTTTTTTAGGGACACATTCCACGATCCCAGGTTGTTCCAAGCCCCATCCAACCTGGCCTTGGACACTTCCAGGAACGGGGCAGCCACAGCTGCTCTGGGCACCCTGTGCCAGGGCCTCCCCACCCTCACAGGGAAGAACTTCTTCCTAATATCCAATCTAAACTGCCTCTAGAGGTGTGAGCAACGGCCTGCTGTGGTACTTGTTAGAATAGTGACAGAAGTGAAATTTTTATTTCTGCATGTGGGGAAAAAAGCCAACAATCGACTGATTTTTACCTTCAGAGGCACTCAGTTTTTGAGTCTTTTTGAGAATGGCTCTTATGCCTGGCATGGCTTGGTCGTATTGATGGAGAACTTCCAAACAGTGCTCATGGAACAGTTTATCTTTCTGAGACAGGCTGTGCAAGAGTAAAAGAGCATCCCGTAAAAACTGAATAACTTGTTCCCTATGTGCACACAAGCTGGTCTCAGATCTAATCTTCATCCACTGTCTGTGCAACATCACAATTAGTGCCTTAACCACCTGCAAGAGGAAAAACAGTACCTCAATACACAAAGCAAAAATATAGGGGCAGAAAACTTATTTTAATATGAACTCTACTGCTTAATCTCTTCAAACTTTCAAATTTCAGGATATTTTCAAGCAAGCCAAAGCAAGCTTCCTAGAAGGTGGCATCCTCTAAAGTACAGGACACTTCTGTTTCTCTACAGCAAAAATAATAAAAAGGGCAAAAAGCAATTTCAGCATTGAGTACTTGGAACTTGTCAGCACGTTAAACTGGGGCAGTGTGGTGAACATACCTCGAGATAGCACTGACAGTCTGTGCCAGGAAATAAAACTGCTGGTCTGGAGCGCCACACGCAGCGTGTCAGGAGCCTCACTGTCTGTTACAAACACAGGTTGTGTTAGAGCAAGGGCTAAGTTATGATAATTCATTGCCAGTTTCAAATAGTCCTGGGGTTTTTTTTCCTCCTAACAGCTGCTTTTTACCCTCAAAGCTGCACAAGTTTTTTCCCCTGAAACCCTTCACAGACAGAGTTTGCCTTGCATAGAAACCTTCTCATGAGCAAAGCTGACAAGATCAATGGCCTTTAATTCACTGCATACAAATAATGTGTTTACACTTAATAGTGCAGGTGGGGGTAATTGAAAGGGTTCAAAATTCTTTAAAATGAGGAAAGTAGAGCAAATAGAACCTCAAACAAGTCTGTTGTCACTTCTGTCTGCACAAACAACACAAATTAGGTTTAAAAGCTATTCTTTCTATATATAACCACGACAAACAGCAAGGTAGCATTTCCGTTCATTGCAAGGAATATAAATCCTAAATCACTACAGAATGCCTTTTAAATGTAATAAATACAATCAAAATGAAATTAAAATCTTGCTTCTTTTTACACTTTTATTGCTCTAAAAGCAAAATAAATCTTAGTGCTGAAAATCTGCAGCCATCCTAGGATCTTCCTTGGTTTTTTTAAGTGACTTGAAAGGCTATTATGACCAATGGTCTCTTCAAGGATAGTTACTGATTCAGTTTCAAGCATGTCCTTTCAAAAATCATTGTAATCCGTTACTGCAAGCCCGTTACTTACACTGTAATCCGTTACTACAATACTTGCAGTTTTGTATTTCAGCTAGAGAAGGAACTTGCTTTCAAACAATTTGTGCTCTATCCTGCTCCTCCCGCTCCCCCAACTGGAAGAAGGAAAAAGCACATGGACACTCAGCCGTGGTTACCTCTTGCTCCAGCTGAAGCCAAAGCATTTCAGATGCTGATTTATCTGGTCTTGATGTTATGTACATGTAGAGTGCAAGGAGAAGGCAGGTGTCTGAAACAGAGAGAACTTTGTTCTTTTTCCAACCAGCCACTTGTTCATGACAAAAATTCTATCAGGCAAGAAAACATTTTGAGTTCTATCCTAGGGCTCATGGTACAGGCTCAGCTTCTTGTTTTACTTCCCGTATCTTCAGCAGTGCTGAGGAAAGTGGTATCCCTAAACCTTATATCTGCCTTTGTGGTAATCCTGTCCTGGTTCATTCATAAGGAACTGAACAGAGCTCATTTGTTATGCATAATACTGGAATCTCTGAGCAGTGCCATGAGCACAGATAAATTTAACTTCAAAACTCCTCAAAAGCCCCTTTTTCCTCATCAACCTTAAATACACAATCTATAAAGTTATTTTTAAATGGCTATAAATGCACTGCTTGTAGACAGATACCACAAGACAAATACTCTCCAAATCAAGTTTTCAGGTAACATAGCAGGCTTTTTGCCTTCTGGGTTTCAGCACCTTGGAGCAAGGCGAGTTTGCATTACTTTTAGTCATGGTAACAGTTCTCTGTCTCCTGCAATCTTTTACCTGAATGAGAACAGAGCTGAGCAACCAACAGGTGGTGCTGAGCAAGAGCACACAGGAGTCTCACAGTCAGAAGCACAGCAGGCAGAGGGGTCTCGGGCCGCAGACAGCGCTGCAGCACCTGGCTACTCAGTAAGTGCTGGAAACTTCAAAACAAAACTTCGTTAGAAAAGGGAAGTGCAGTCACAAGTTGAAAATAAACTAGTTTTTGTAGACAGTATCATAATTTGTGGCTTTTAAGCTATTCAGAACATTCAATCTCAAATTATCTGTCATAAATACAAAGTATGATGGAAAACATTGTTACTTTGGCAGTCACTCTGCAGTTCACGCTGGCAGTTTTACCTGCCAGAATGAGATCCTGTGCTTTCCTTCTTTATGCACCTCCCAGCAATCACAAAAATCCCAAAATGAATGTAAGAAAGATTCTTCACTTTCAATGAGGCAACAGCAACTGCTTCATATGAACATCATCAGCAAACCTTGTTACTGATCAGGGATGATTATTATACTCATTAACAGCAAAGGCAGTAGAAATATCCTCAGCTGCTTCTCAAATGTGATCTGAGATGTGATTTCTCTCATACATAACACAAGTTCTACTGGAAGTTGCCCAGATGAGTTTTAACAGAATGAAAACAGCTAAACAGCAGACTGTGAAATAATTTAAAAGTTATTACTGACTTACTTTATTAACAAGTCCATAGTTGAATTTTCAGCTAATTTTACCAAAACCTTAAGGCTTTGGTTCAGGATATTGTCAATCTGGGAACCCCTTGCAGCAGAAAAAGCTAAAATCTGAAGCAGCTTTTTAAACAAAGAATGCTGAGCTCCATCAGTATTGGGAGGATCCTGTGGAGCAGGCAGCTCTCCTTGTGTCCTGCTCTCTTCTTTATTGTCACGCTGATTGTCACACAACACATTTTGGTCCATCTTGGGAACCTGTTCATCTCCAGCAGCAGAACCGTTTTCCATTTCAGCAGACAGCAAGGTGTGGACAACATCCTGGCTGTAGAACACCAAATAATAAAGGATCCCCAGTGACACAAGAGTAGTTTCTTCAAGGGACAACCTGAAGTCCTCCTTGCCTGACCCTGTGTTTGTGCTGGCTCTGGAAGCAGCAGCTGGATGGGTCCCACAAGTTCCATTCCCGGGGGTGTCCCCGAGCTGCTCTGCTTGGCAGAAGGCAGCAACGTGGTGCTCCACCAAGGGCAGGAGATGCACAGCACCTTGGATCCTGCTCTGTGTGAGGGGCAGGAGCCCTCCCTGCCCTTCTGCTGGGTTTTCCTCAGATAATCCTTCATCCAGAGCAATCAAGTTCAGTCCTGTTATTGCCAGTTTTTGAGCATCTTGCAGGGATACAAGAGGAGCAATTCCTTCTTGAGTTGTCCTGCTGCTGGGAAGTTGTGTGGGCTTCCTGTCCAAATAAAAGGGATACACTTCACAAAAAAAGGCAGAGAATAGATTCCAAATCTGAGTATTTATGAATTCAATAATAGAAAGGCCAGAGTACTAAGAGATGTCTGTTTCCAATATAGGAAAAAAGCGGGGAAAACATCATCCTACTCCTCGATGCCTGCATGGAAGAGCCATTTCAAAGCATTCTAGGTTTCAATACTAATAAAACAACCTATCTGAAAAGCAAAGGTATTTCAGAAGCTACAGTCTAATTCTGTAAAGTGAAAAGCTATTATAATTCATATCCAATCTTCATATTTAAAATGTTTTACCGGGAAATATAAATATATATTAGAAAGTTGCACACCAATTGTACATTAAAAATTAAACACAGCTTATATTTTGAAGATATAAAACAAAAGTTTGGATCACATTTTCAGCATTTTCTTCCCCCTTAACTCATCATCATGCTTCTGTTCTTCCTTCCTTGCAATGCAAGCTGCTAACAGCTTTAGTTTAGTTCTGTGCCTTCCCCTAACTGATAATTAACCTAATTATTTTTTTGTGATGTTCCAGTGTTTAGTATCTGTGATAATCAAAGATACAGAATGATGTTCCAAATTTTGCACTAAATGGCCTAAGCAGAGCATGATTTACCACAGGGAATGAGCTCTCCTGCATGGCCAAGTGTTTCTTAGTACAGAGAATGCCACTGTGCCGAACATGGCAGGTACAGTTTAACAAAGAAAATAAAACTCACGTATCCAAAGCGTTGGGTGGCAACACAGCTCCAGATAGAGGCTCAGAGTTGCTACTGAGAAGGTGGCAGAAACCTAGAAGTGACCCGGGGACAACAGGCTGCTTCATCAGTGCATTCAGCAAGATAGAACCTGGAAGGATACAAAATTTTCTTTGGAGAAGATTTGCCATCATCAACAACAAAAAAAATCAGTATTTCAGAAGATCAGCCTTACTGAAGGGTGCTTGCAACCTCAAAATGTTTCTTTCATTACGAATCTTCTTTCTTAACAGAATAATTTTCAGAAAAATTAATTTAAGATATATAGATATAAAATACCTCTAAAGTTATATTTAGAGGTATTTTAATTATGATTCCCTATTTGCAAAATAGCTTGAGCCAAGTGATCACATACCCCAGCTGTTCTGGTGACTTGCCCTCCATTTTCTACTCCAGACATTGAAATTATGTGATGCAATTCCACTGCCAACTGTAACTAAGCTAGTGCCCTAAAGAATTCTTGGAGCTGACTGTTGAAAATGCTTGATAGTGTTTTAGGTCTTTTTAAAGGTTAAAAAATTAGCCATTTTCCCTGGATTTATTTCTGTATTACCAGAATGATATTACCTTGTCTATTTCGTTTGGGGACAGAGTTGTAGGAACCCTTTTTTCCTGTTGCTTTGTGCTGCTTCAGGGATGAAACATCAGGATGGGTTATCTTCCTGTCTGAAACAAACAGGGATTGGGAGAACACAGATCTGCACCCATCCTGTACACACAGCCACAGTGTTAGATAATCTTTTAATAATCTCTATATGTCACAATTACCAAGCAAACCAAGGCCAAAAGCCTTGCAGAGTTCAGAAAAAAGGCAAACAAATGTATTTTTTCAAACAAATAGGCATATTGAGTGTTGTTACCACAACAAACAACAGCAAGACTAATGCTTTCAGGCTACTGCATTTTTGTTTTTGCTGGAGTTCCTACTGCCCATATTCTTAGAATTAACATTGTAACTGACAGCAACATCTTAGAGTTTTCACGACTCTTCAAGTAAGGATTAGTTGATGATATTCACATTTCTTACATTTATTATTTCCCATTGCTATTAAAAAACCACTACTTTTGTTTCTTATTATAGCAATCTTCAAATATATGCAGATATTAATTTCCTACGATTTACTCAATGAATTTCAAGATAGAATTTTGTCAAAGTTACTGCCCTACATATAAAAGAGGAAATGAGTGCATTGTTTCAGTTGCTTCTTTCAGTATGGCTAAATATGTACCCTTTAAAATCCAATCCCCAAAACACTAGAACAAGAATACAAAACATTCAATACCTGACTAGCAGACCAAGAAATAGGCAAATTGTTTCCTATTCTTTATGCAATGAGAAAAGACAGATCAACAATTTGGATGTTTTAGTTCATCACACAGTGAAGTTTTTTATTGCAGCCACTGGCCACTTCATCATTGCCACCTTGGCATCTGGTACTAAGGTATGAATTAAAATGATCTCCATGCAAATTTCAGTCATGGCTATTTAACTTCAGTTGGTATAAAGGGGAAAAAAAAATCTAACTAAAACCAAAATAAATAACTGTGAATTGACTGCAACTGTTCAGTCACAAAATACTTCTCTAATGTAGAATGTTCACACGTAGCTAAAAATGTTGCAAGCTGTACAGGGGTTTACCTTCTTTGACTGAAGTAGTCAGGGCCATCAAGTTTCCTGAAGAACACAATGGCCTAGTGGGCATTTCAGCATTGAAGGATTCCTTTGTAGGAAAAGATTTTCTTTCTGGCTGTGGAGAACATCCTTCTGATTTCACTTGTACCACAAGATTCTTTTTAGGGCTAAGATAAAAAGACAAATCAATATTTCTTTTGTAATTATTTTATGAAATAACAATCTATTTTCTTTGGAACGATGTTTTAGAGTTACTTCACTATATACTCTTTGAATTTCTCTCACAGATACAAGGAAGGCTCTTTTTTGAGCAAATTCCAAAAATGTCATCAGACTTTTTTGTTGTATTTTTTTCAAAGACAACAGGGCTAAGAGTCATATGAAGAAGGAAAACCTCTTCAATAGTTTAAACACATGCATTACAAAAATGAACACAAATTCCTTTTCTAACCCCCCTACCTTGTTGTTGGAACTGCCTGAGAAAGGTGTTTGTTTCTTTCACAGTTCTGAAGTCGTGTTCTTAATTCATTCATTTCTGCGTCCTTGAACTGCAGCTCGGAGTGCAAGGACTGTAACTGAAAGAGGAGTTCAGGACAGTTTTACCAGTTCAGAAGTGCTGCAGCTGCAGAGCAACTGAGTTACCAGAGAGCTCCAGATCACCATCTGTTCCTGTGAACTCCAAGATCTCCATTTTTAGGAATGTTAGTCCAGTTAACACTATCTGAGGGCCAAGTGCCAGGAGTTCAGGCAATAAGCTTTTGTGAGTGGCTAAGACAAAGCAAATGCCACGCAGAGCATGGCTCCAGTGAGGCTGCAGAGCCAACTGGGCAAAAGCAGCCACTGTCCTCGTCAGGGATGGACAGAGATGACTGCAACAAGAACAGCAATCTGATCAGAGCCACAGAGCATCTTCTGTCACTTTTTTCCACTCTAACATACATTCCAATTGCAATGTTCTCAGAATAGCTTAAAAAAAGCAGTACACAAATGAAAACCTCTACCACCTGAATTTCATTACTTTATTTTGGCAGGGGAAAACCTTCAACAAGTTTTTATAAATATTTTCTTCTAGGTAAGAAAATAAAAGCAAGCATTGTGGAAATTTCACACAAACGTTGTTCCTTTGACTAAATGGTCTGTGACATCATTAAGTCATAAATCAGCTTCTGCAAGTGATCTGCAGGTAACTGACAGATTTACAAACCTTTTTGGAGAACTCTTTTTCTTTTTCACTTAAAATCTGAGATTTTTGTTCTTCCAGTAGCAGGTAAGATCTTTTCTGTTCTTCCATAGCATACTCCATCTGCTGCATTGAGTCACGCAGAATTTTAATTTCTCCATTTTTAGTGAGAATTTCATCCTGCATTTCTTTCAGCTGCAAACAGAGGAGTTACATTAAAGGATGGATATAGCCAAAAGTATGCATTTGCATCAGTACGTGGTTGAAAATTAGGTGTATTTGTAATTTCTAGGAAGAAAAATGCTCCTGGTAACCCAGCTCAGAAATTCTACACACTACCTCGAATTTTTCTCTGATTAAATCAGGCTCAGCTACTGTTTTCTTTAACATAATTCAAAATTACAAGATCATCCTTCTCTTTCCCCTTCTCTACAATTATGTTTTGGATTTTTTAAAAAAAAGTGTTCTAGTCACACACATCAGTAATTTATTCATTGTTTGGTTGATAACACTGATAATTTAGTTACACTACTACATCCATCAGGACAGCCAACAAGCACTCTAAGAGAAGGTACCACCCCCAGAGAGAATCTTCATGACATTGAGTCTCTAACACTTCCTGAGCAGCCACTACCACTCAGAGACAAGACTTTGGGGATAATAAAGAAGTTACTCAGAAAAGCAAGAAGAAAAGATCAAAAAGACACTTCTCTACAACTGTAAAATTATGATTTAATACGGTATACAGGTAGAGATTCCCGGATAAAGGTGGATATAATAGAGCTGGGACAGATACAGAGAATGGATAAGGGGAAACAGAGAATCTCTCCATAAATGACCACTGGAAGGTAAAGTAACATAAAGCCACTTGAAAGTCACCTCACTTTCTCAAACCTTTTAAGTTAAACAAAACAACTCTGGCTGACAGGGCAGAGAAATTATTTCATAGGGAACAAATAAACCTGAAAAATTAGCATTTGCTAATCTGAAATTACCAAGAAATAAAATATTGTTCTCACTCTTTAGTATTACTGAAGCTATTTCTAGTACAATTATTTTATTTCAATACACCCCTGGATTACAAAGATTAGATCACCTTGATTAGAATTAAATGCTTGGGACTGGATTTATCCTACCTTTCAGTTGTTCCTATCAAAAATGTGATATTTAGAGGAGAAGGGAGGATATTGCCAACCTTCTGTTTGACTTCTTCATGCTGTGTCTGTAGCACTTCAAACTGGAATGCATCTCTCATCAGACCATCTTCTGCTCTGCTTCCTGCTGCAGGGAAAAGCCAAAATCTGAAGCACAGATTATGAATGTGCATCACTGGTGACTTAACACCAAGGTTTTGTTATTTGTCATTGCATACATCTGAATATCTTAGTATTTTACTGTCATTACAAACAGGTAAACTGCCTCATCTAGTCACCACAGGAACTTTGCTAGTGCTTGTGCATCAATTCTTAGAACAGAAGAACCCCTGCCCCTTCAAAATTTTAATTACAGAATGGTTTGGGTTGAAAGGGACCTTAAAGATCATCTCATATCTTAAACCAGCAAGATGACCCACAGCAAAAGCAAGCATTTCTTCTGAGATAACTTTAGTGAAAGCACAAACAAGGGCTCACTGAAAACTTAACTCACCTGGCGAGAGATGTCAGGGTTGCTAAAACATACTTACTTAAGGTCTCTAAGGTTCATTATGAAGAAACCCCTGCTTTCGTTTCTTTCAAAATAAACCTGAAAGTCAGCTGTTAATATAGGGCATGCTGTGCATTTATTAGTGGAAAATAACAGGGGAAAGGAAATCTGAAACCCAACATGCTACTAGAATGTAATACCTAAAGCATGTTGAAAGTTTAGGAAACTCGAGTTTTTTATTTGTCAGGTTTAATATGCAGCACCCCTGTCCAGGCTGGCATTACCATACATACCCCAGGTAGGGCTGCTGGAGCTGTGAGATCAATGCAATGCTCCTCCTGGGATTGTTATTCTCGTTATTCCTCTGAATGCCAGCCATCCCTCTGACCCCGGGGGTACCACCGTGGGGTGCTGGTGGCCAGGTGAACGGGCAGGATCAATTAATTCCCTTAAGGGAACTTACAAGAAAGATGGAGCAAGTCTATTTACAAGAGCCTTTAGTGACAGAACAATAGGAAGGGGCTTCACGCTGACAGAGATTTAGGTTAGATATTAGGAAGAAATTCTTCCCTGTGAGGGCGGTGAGGACCTGGCACAGGGTGCCCAGAGCAGCTGTGGCTGCCCCGGGATCCCTGGAAGTATCCAAAGCCAGGTTGGACGGGGCTTGGAGCAGCCTGGGACAGTGAAAGGGGTTCCTGCCCGTGGCAGGGGGTGGCACTGGGTGGGCTTTGAGGTCCCTGCCAACTCAGGCCATTCCGTGCTTGCTGAAGGGACACCGAAGGCTTCGGCAGCAGCGGGGCAGTGAGGGGCAGTCGCCGGGACACACCGACCTTGCCGCCCGCCCGCGGGCAGCTCCGGCACTCCCCACGCGTGTTCCGCGGGCGGATTCTGCGACAGCGCCTGCGAGGCCAGGATGTCGATCTGCTCCAGGTCGTCCGCCGTGAAGTCATCACTGTCCCCGAAGGAGTCCATGATCCCGGTCGCGGCGCTCTTGGGGCGCTTGTGCGGAGGCAGGGCGCTGTGCAGCGCCGGCGCGGCGGCCGCAGCGCCGCTCTCCCCGCAGAGCGCGGCGCCGCTCCGCTTGCGCGGCCCGGGCAGCGCCGCCATGGCGGGACCCGCGGGCCCGCACGCCGCGGGGCCGCCCCGACCACGCCCCCCCCCGCGCGCCGCGCCGCCCGCCAATCGCCGCCGGGCAGCCCTTCCCACACAGCCAATAGAGTGGCAGCAGCTTCAGAGCCGGCTGTAAGCGCCCCCTCGATTGGCCGCAGCCTGCCGACATGCAAGCGCCTCGCTGATTGGGAGGGAGGGAGGAGGGAAGGATCGTCCCTCTCGGCGCTGTGAGGGAATGCGCTGGCGTCACGCTTTCAAGCGATGACGTCAGACTGGGCGGTGACGTCACGGTGAGGGTTGTCCCGCTGATGTCAGACCTGGCTTCATCCCGGGCACGATGGCGTCACACCGCAGCTGGAGGGCCGCTGTGACCCGTCCCGTGCAGCCACAGACACGACTGCCCTGGATAAACAGGGACCTCTAGGAGTGTCAGGGAAGTGCAGTATTTGCTAAAGTCCTGTGCTAAACCCTCACGGTTAAACTACTGGCATTAACCTGCTTTTGTAATCATATCTGGCCCGTTTTTAAATGTGGACTGAAAAACAGAGTTTCCAGCTCTATAACTCAGGTCACAGCTATGTCAATAATCCTTTTAAGAGGGGACTAGGCCATAGTCTTGCATCACATTTTTAAAACAGCCATAAATTATTTTCATTTCTACAAGTCAGTTTACAAATAGCTTGATGGTCTTTTAAGTGAAAACCACTGTGCTAGTGTGACATATTTCCAATTCTGTTAGAGAATTCTGATTTTTCTTGCTCATTTAGCTGTTGCCCATTACATGCAGGGAAAATGGGTTATCACTGGAGGTAATTGTCTTTATCCATGCAGTGCGTGAGCAGCCTGTGAGGACCCAGTAAGGCCCAAAGCAAGCCTGGGGCCATTGCTCCCAGCTGTGCTGAAGTGGCAGCAGTGATCCCAGTGGAATCAGCAGGTGGGAACAGCTCAGGTGCACACAGAAGGGGCAGCCTCAGAGGGCAGGTGCACTTGTAGCACTTTAGCTTTGAGGTGCTGCTTAAAGGTTTTATTTTTGTTTCTCCAAGAAGTTGTTCTATCAATTATGTGCCAAACTGGGGGAATTGTGGACGCTTTTGATGCTCAAAACACTGAAGGTACTATTATTTATGTTTGGAACTATTGCTTTTCTCTCTCTAATGGGAATGGTAACATAATGTCTTTGTAGTCTTGCCATAAAGTAAAGTTTCTTCTTGCTTTTAAGAATGGTTTTATCTTTTTATGTTTCGAGAGAGATGCTTTGAGGAGATGGAATAAAACCAAAATTGCTTGTTTAGTTTAAAACCTCTCCTGGCAATTTCTCGTGCTCTATTTCTGCTGCTTATGTTTAAAGAGACATGTATTGAGAACTTTATTTAAGTAATGTAAAAGGAACTGGATTTAGACATTACTTGTTCTTAATTCTGGGTTGGTTTTGTTTGTGTGTTTTTGTTGTTTGTTTAGGATTTTTTGTTTAATAAATTAGTAGGATTATGATAGTATGAGTATTTTTTATTATTGCTCTTTTTAAATAATAGTATATTGTCTGAGTGGTATACTTTCAGTTTTACTTTCTCCTCTTCCGCTATCTGAAATTGAGGAAAAATAGAATGGTAGAAGGCTTGCACAAGCTTTATTTTTAACAAGATAAACCAAGATACTGACTTTGTTTTCCTCTGCTCCAGGTGTTCCTACTAAAGAGAAAATGACTTGCAGAGGATTAGAATAACAACAAAGTAAGTCTGACATGTAGAATTTGATTTAAATACAGCTGCTCATGGAATAATTTTTGGGCAGGGGGATGAAAGTAACACAGTTACATATTTTCTGATTTCTCATTTTTCTCTGTCTTGCTTACACTGAGTCTTAAATCTGAAACTCCCTGAGGAGAACACAAGAAAGCAAAGCTTGAGTTTAGCGCTACCTGACAACTGTGGCATTTTTAATTTTTGTAGCCAGAATTTCTTGTTTCATTTGAATATTCCACTTAGGACTAATGGATCCAGGTGTCAGACCTCAATCCATATGAGTAGTTTTAGCATAACCATTTGACTCTTGCAATACTTTTAGCTACAATTCATCTGCTTTCTACTATTACCATTATTTTAGTTTACTCTTGAGCAAGTTAAAACCAGGGCCCTTAATGTCTGTCCTGGCTTTAGCAGTATCTTGTTTTACTGACTTAAGTGTAAAATCACTGGGATAATAGAGAATTTGTGCATTTATTCATTTGGGTGCACACATTGTGGAAGGGGAAAGCTCTTTAGCATAATTAAGCATCAAGTTTAATAACTTATGTGTGGATTTGGACAGTTCTTAGTGCTGCTAATGGTATGTTTATTCTAAATGCTAGTAATAATTCTGTGACTCCAATGCAAGTATTTCTTTGTCTCTTATTTCAGTGAAGATTGATGTTGTTATAAACAAAACAGCCTTGCTGGAACACTTTGGCTTGGGCTAAGTGTGGTAGATAGGGACAGGTGAGCGGAAGATCTCTGAATGAGTCCCAAGTACCAGCAGAGATTAATTTTTTTAACTTAATTCCTAAAGTATGAGGTAATAAAATGCAAATGGGACTTCGGTGAAAATTTGTTATAATAAAATAGCATCTTGATCCAGACCTGAGAGTCGGTTAGGAGGGGAGTAGTCTGGGTTTTGGGTAAATGTCAAGAGTTTTGTCATTTGCTGGTAGAGGGAAAGGAAAACCCGCCTGTCAAGGATGACCTCCGAGCTGCGGGTCTGAGATGGAGGGGGATTTTAGTCTGTGCTTGTATTGGGTCCTGAGAAAAGAGAGGGAAAAGGGAACAAGGCAGGATAACGGTGCTGTCTGCCTGGAATACGGCTGGCGATGGAGCTGATGGAGGGATGAGAGGAGCCGCCGCTGGCCTGGGGTGGCGGCGAGGGCCGGGCCGTGAGGGCAGGGCCGGGCCGTGAGGGCAGGGCCGTGAGGGCAGGGCCGGGCCGTGAGGGCAGGGCCGTGAGGGCCGGGCCGGGAGCGCGGCCGCGCGTTGCACCCATTAATTCCGTTGGGGTGAATGAGCGCCGGGCTGGGCGGAGCGGCGGGGCTGCGTCCGTGTGCCGGGCCCCCGAGCGCTGCCCGACGGGCCGGGCCGTCCGTGTGCCGGGCCGTCGGCGAGCCGGGCCGTCCGTGCATCCGCGCCGGTCCCGCCCCATGGCCACCACAACAAACCCGCCCCGTCCCGCCCGCGCCGTGCGGCTGTTGCGCGGAGCCGCCCCCGGCCGCGGGGGCCGAGCCGGGCCGGGCCGGGCGGCGCTGGCAGCGGGGCCGGGGCGGATATGAGGACCGAGATCTCCACAGCGGCCGCGTTCGTGACCCGCCTCCTGCGGGCCGCCGGCGGGGTCGGCGAGGAGCAGCTGCGGTGCTTCCGCGAGTGCCTGCAGGAGGCGATGCGCGGTGAGTAACGGGGGGACATCCCCTCTTTCCGTCCCTCCCCTGCATCCCTCCCGCATCCTGCGGGGTCCGGCGGAGCGCAGCCCCGCCTAGAAGCTCCTCTTTGTTCCATCCCGCAGAGCACTACAAGCACCACTGGTTCCCCCTGGTGCCCTCCAAGGGCTCCGGCTACCGCTGCATCAGGATCAACCATAAGATGGACCCCTTGATAGGAAAGGCGGCGGAGATGATCGGACTGAGCCACGAGAGGCTCTTCCAGCTCTTACCCAGCGAATTAACGCTGTGGGTCGACCCCTTCGAAGTGTCCTATCGCATAGGTGAGGATGGGTCTATCTGTGTGCTGTACGAAAGCCCCCAGCCTGGAGGGAAGGCGGCCAAACAACTGGAGAGCAGGACCAGCTGCAAGGAGTGGAGAATTGGCAGATCCAGCCCTTCCAAGAGTTACAACATGATGACGGTTTCTAGTTAAAAACAACTCTTCCCTGTACGATGTTGTATGTATCCCGACCTCATAGTAAAGTTGGATGTAGCTGAGCTTTTTTTGTTTTTAATTATTTTTTCACCCTATAGTCATTAAAGTCGTGGTAGTACTGCCAAATTCTTTGTGGCCAAGGGCTAAATGTATAAAGCAGTTCTTTACACTGCATGTTCCTTTCTGAGCTGTGTCCTGTAAATGCACTGTACAGTTGGTGGATTATTTTACACATTTATATTTTCAAAAAGTTTTGCGTATTTGTAATAAAAAGCAATATTGTAGCACTGTTTATGACGGGTTTTAGTCAAAATTAGTACTTGCTAAAAAAAATCTGCAATTTGCAGAGCAATAACACAAAGATGGGTGGGAAACAGATCTAACATAAATCCAGTGATTTGTCTGCACAGACTTCTCTCAGGGTCATTCAAGTTTGACTGTGAGGCACAAATCACCAAAATAACTCTTTATTTTTTGTTTTTCAAAGCATGCATTTATTTGAGGGCTGGGTTCCATCACACCCCAATATTTTAGCAAAAAGTAGCAGGGAATTAGTTGTCTTCTTATTTCTAGCTATAGGAGTAGAAAAATAAAGACTTGTTTAAATGATAAAATGATTCTGACTTGTTTTGGTGGTGTGCTGCTTTTTTTGTTTGTTGGTTTGGTTTTTAGTTTGTTTTTGGTTTTTTTCCCCAGGCTTTTAATGTTGCTCTTAAAGTCTATTCTGTCTATTTCTAATAATTGCAGAAAGCTTTGTAATTAAAGAGGTGTAGCAGTAAACATCCATCTTTATTTCAGATCACAACAAAACACTCAGTTTTGGGAAACCTTGCTGGCTGCATGTCTTCAGCTGAATAATCTGTGGAGAGCTGGGTGGGTTTTTTGGTACTGAATGGAAGAAAAACTACTCTTCTAACATTTGATCTATTGCAGAAAAAAAAAAAAGCTTGAGTTTATAAGGAAATGGCATTTGGGTTTAACGCTGCAACTTCTTCCGTGTAGGAAGCTCAAGAGAAGATTATTGTCAGTGCTGTAACTACCTTGGCTTTTGTGGAAGGTAAATCCTGCTGTTTCTGGCTTTGAGTTCCTTATTTTTGTCAGGCTCTCTTATACCAGTTGGGCACAAGATTTAGTGAAGATATCAAATACAGTAGATTTGATGTAATAACAAAACTTTGTGTTGCTGGTTTATGTGGATACTCTTAGTGTTGATATCCCAGTAAAGATTTAATTTACAGATATTGTGATTCCTATTCTAAGAAGCAGTGGTTTCTAATTCAGCCATAGAAGGCTGCCTGGCATTGCTGATTTCTGTAGCCTGGTGTTGGAGCACACTTGATGAAAGGGAGCTTTGTCTGGTGTGAGTATGTCAGCAAAAAAAACCCTCCTTGGGCTATGTCAATACCATGGTAGAACACATAGTGAGGGAAGGGACAAGTCTGGGCAAACTGGAAAGGGCAGAACTCCAGCTCACAAAAAGGTTTTTTCTTTGTTTGCCTTAGAAAAAGCTGTGGCTTGCTGCTTGCTGTTTGTTTATTATCTCAGAGGCAGGCTTGTCTAGGGGTATTTGTTTAATCTGGGGGAAATGTATAGTGCTATTTTCTTAGTAATTAAAACTCTGTAAAAATTGATTGCGTACTTCTAGTCTATCACTCCAATAAATAAGTTTCTGAGTTACTTTAACAACTGGGTGTTAAAGGTTTGGTGGCAAATTGCCTTTTTATTAAATGAGATTGGAAATCGGTTTTCATGATGTTATTTTATTCTCTTGAGGAGGCAGTAACACTTTCCTTTTCCTCTCTGATGAATATTCAATGTGGGTAATCCTATTTCCTTGGGACCTCTGAGGGGATATATTTGACACATTTGTCAGTAATTGAACAGAATAACTTTAAATCTGCTAAGGGTGAGGTGCCTTCTTTGATTAAATTTCATTTGAAAGGTAATTGGCCTTGCTGCACATTGTTAGCAGCCCACTGGAAAAGATGGGTATGAAGTCTTTAGCTTAACAGGCGGTTTTCCATAGCAGGATGTAAAGACGTTTGATGGGGGGTTCCACGGACGGATATAAGCGAGATCTCTGTTGGTTGCTCTTGGGGGATGAGGTTTATTCAGGGTGCAGAAAGGCCCTGCCTCGTGCTGTGTAGCAGCACATGGCTGGGCCTGAGGTGATGGGCGAGGGGAGAGACAAAGGGGGAGCAGGGACTCCCGGAGGAAGTTCCAGGAGGAGAGGGGAAGATCCAAGAGGGCGTCTGGCCTCCCAGAGACCCCTTACCAGGGGGGCTCCAAGGTGGGCTGGAACAGGACTTGGGCCAATGGGGTTACAGGCACTTGATGTTTCAGGGGAGAGTTACAGGTGTGGGGTGAACCATGCATTGGGGTGAGATGGAACAGTCCATTTGACTTTTGGATCCCTCTGTAGGTAAGGACATTGTCCAGCCAGTAGGGAGGATTGTTTTCATCCTGGCTGTACTATTGTGGTTCTTAATCATATTTATCTACCCTTCCCAACAGCAGGAAACACTGGAAGTGGAATTGAAGATGACTTGGGAATCAGGACATGATTTCCAGCCGTTGGGTGTGGTTTGAAGTGAAGGAGGGTACAGCAGGTTCTTCTGTTCTTGCCTGGTGTCTGTCCACGTATGAGCAGAGAAGAGCCTGGGTTAATCCAGCCAGGATGGATTCTGCTGTTTTTATTAATCCTTCCCTAAGCAATGGGATGTGTCAGATGTTCTATAATACCACAGCTCCAGTATCCTATGCTCTCTGTAGGTTTGATGTCTATCGTTGAATGGGCAATTTAATGCAAGTTAGGTTTCATGTATTTAAGCTGATGGCATGAAGTTGAAGTCACTCTGCAGACAAACAGGTCGGGGACACCAGAGGAGTTGAACAAAACCCACTGAAGCAAAGAAAACACTTGAGCTACAAGTAAATACCCTGTGATATCTGTGCCATCTAGAGCTGCATTCCATTGCTTTAAAAAACATCAAAGATGTATTGACAGCACAGAAGCTGTTCTGAGGGAATAGGCTGCTTGGTAGTAAGCCAGGGAGGCAGTTATTTGGAGGAGGTAAAGAAAATCAACTTTGTGTTTTCCCTGAAAGGTAGTAAGTTTTGTGTTCTGCTGTTGCAACAAACAAGGCAAAGTCTTAACATCTTTAAAATTAAATAATTGTGACACAAGACTGACCACATCTCATCAGTCATGACTGATTGGACTGGTTTGGATTCTGCTGGAAGGATTAGTGCATGGTGGCCTCCTTGAAGCAATAAAAATACATGGAGAAGAATCAGTACATGCTTCTTTGGATGAGGAGGGGTTAACTGTTGGATAACTAAAGCTGAAATTGGGGGGGGGAATTGTGCATTTGCGTGTTTCTCCAAAATATTGCTTTGCTGCCAAATTACTTACATAACATTTGTCTGAGTGGTAAAATCCACCTGAGAGAGAAGGTCCTGCTACTTTATACAGCCTGTCCACTTCTGTACTGCGACTATCGTGTATCAACCCCTGACTTGATAGTTGGACCTAAGAGCATGGAAATGAATAGTTTCGCTGTGAGAACTTCAGAAGAGAAGGGGATTGTCTGTACTTGTTTCAGATTCTATTATATTTAGAGTCAGGTAAATTAAAAGATGAAATTTTGGATGTTTAGGTTTAGTTTCTAACCACTGGTCCTTATTTCCTTATCCTCACAATGAAAGGTTTTTCAGTGTGTAGCACTTTATATTGCCATCAAATTAAACCTGTTTTTCATATATAAAGGATTAAAAAGATCAAGCTTTTAAAGTTTGAGCATAAATGATTTTCTTTTAACTGGGATTTACATACATGCTTTTTGCCAACACTTGTTTCATTTTTAATATGTGCCTGAGAATGTGTTCCCAGGGAATGAGTGCACTGAACCAACTGATCTGGATTGCTCTGTTCCCACCACGATTTGCTGCTCACCAGCACTGCCAGTGCTGTGAGCTTTACTTCACTGAGAACAATGCAGAAGGCCTGACAGAATTGCTAAAATGATGAGGTCTTTCACTTAAATAATTTTTAATTCCTGTAATGTGTTCTTGACTGTTATTTTGTCTAGAATGCCACATGTTTTAGGTGAAGTGCCTGGTGAAAAACCTAAATAATGAGTTTGTGATTGCTCACATGAAGGACAAATCCCAGGCTTGTTTAGTAGGTTTCTGTACAGCTGGGTTGATTTGCATTAATGAAGTTGTTCTCCTTTGAATTATACACTTATTATGAAGTGAATTAATGCCTGATAAATTAACCTCCTGTTTACATTTAATCCATGATTAGAAGTCTTGTAAGTCTCCTGCAGTTATTAGTTGTTATTTTTTTTACACTGGGACACTTACCCTAGAGGAATTTTCTATCTGTTCCCACATGAACTGGAAATAGACATTGAGGTCCCACGGATATCCTAAATTCTCTTGGGCATTTTCTAGACTTTGTGGTTATGTTTCTCCTTATGAAACCCAACATTTATTATTTTTATATTATCTGGTCTAGTCATAAGTATATTTCCATTACTTCATTATCCTCATGCAGTACAAAGTTACCCACATTACCAAATACAGGTAGGCAATGTTTACTGATCACTCTCAGCTTTTTGGTGATCACTTTAGGAATTTTGCCGTCTTCCTCTTTTCAGAACTACAATTCATTTAAGGGCTGATGTATCTTAACCAGATATACAAAGGTAAAGCCTTTTTTCTTTGCTATTTGAACCATGGATTTTCCTCTCACATTTTTAGCTTCCTTCAGATTTTTTTTCAACTTCACAATAGTTTGTGTATGTTGGCTTTTTTTCTGTTTCACCTTGGTTTTCTTTAATTATGATTCAGAATTCAGATTTAATCTTAACTTCTGCCTCACGTTGTCTCAGTGTAGCAGCACTCAGCCATCACTTTGGCTGTGTGTGATTCTTCAGGCTGATCCACATTGCTAGAGCAGAATGGGAAGATTTGTATTCTTGGGTACTAGAGGTGTGTTGGTTCCTGACTAATAAGGTTGATACTTTTTATAAATTATTTTTCTCATGGTTCCAGAGTCACTCTTAGTAATATATAAGCTATAGGACTAATAGTTTATTTATTTTCATGGGTTTCTTGCTGTGGAGTGAATTTATTCCAGTAATAACAATTGATATTTAGCTTTCTGTTAGAAGGCTATGAAAAATTTTCATTGAGAAGTAAACTGCTGATTTGAGGTTGTAATTTGGGTAACTTTGGTGGGCAATGCATTTTGAGATAGAATTGCATGGAAGGATCTTTCATCTGTTTGGAAGAGTCAGTCGCCTCTTGTTTGCAATCAGCAGGACAATCAATGTCTAGAAAGTGTCATGAGGCAATGAGAGGGCAAATTAAATTGTGATTTGTGGCCACCTTGGTATTATTATGCTTTAAACTACTGGCTTACTGATGGTAATATTTGCATAGCCTCATTAGCTGTTATGCAGGATGAGTTATTTTTCACAGTGGTTCTTAAAAATCCAAATAAATAAGAGCTGAAAAAGAAAATAAATGTCGGTGCAGCTAAACTAAACAGCAAATCAGTCTTAAGTCACTGAAAGACAAAGCTGCGGATATCTCTCTTC